AAAAAAAAAAAAAAAAAAAAAGTTGAATTCCCTAAATAAATGAATGAATAGGAAGGTATAGAAAGTATTTAAGCTACCATACAGACGTCGGCTTCGTTACCAGTTTTCCCTGCGCTCGTCAAGCAGCGAACATGCTATCCACTCTGCAGCCTCCTCGCTGTTCCCTTTCTCGCTTCCCTCTCCATCTTCCTTCTAAACCCTTCTTCTTTCACTCCAAACCAACCCCGCTCTCATCTCCATATCCCATCGCCAATGCCACTCTCACCGACCAAATTGCAACTTCCGCTTCATCCCCATCTCTTCACTCCCAAATTCTCTCCATCCGCCATTCCCTTCTTTCCCGCCAATTCACTGCCACCCAACTTGCCGAGTCCTATCTCAATCGCCTTCGAGCATTGGAGCCTCACCTTAAGTCATTTCTCCACGTCTCTGATAGCGTTCTCTCCGATGCCCGCGAGATTGATGACAAAATTCTGAGAAATGAGGAATTGGGTCCTTTGGCTGGGGTGCTTGTCGGCGTTAAGGACAATATTTGTACTGCGGGTATGCCTTCCACTGGTGGGTCTAGGATTCTCGATGGGTATCGACCGCCATTTGATGCTACTGCTGTGAGGAGAATCAAGGAGTTGGGTGGGATTGTGGTTGGGAAGACTAATTTGGATGAGTTTGGAATGGGTAGTACTACTGAAGCCTCTGCTTTCCAGGTTTGCGTTTCTTTTAATATTATAAATTTATAGCTTTCCCCTGCTTTCCATCATACGGGGTACTCGGAAATAAGGGCGGGAAGTGTGTGTGGTTGTGTGTTTTCTTCTTAGCACTACTTTTGTCGTGAAAATGAACATAGAGGGGACATTTCTATGGGGGATTATCATTAGAAAATTGAATACAGAGCATTTTATAGGGTAAAAGTGAGGCTGTTCATTCCTTAGGTGACTGCAAATCCGTGGGATTTGAAAAGGGTCCCGGGAGGATCATCAGGAGGCTCCGCTTCAGCTGTTTCTGCTAGGCAGTGTGTGGTGTCTTTAGGAAGTGATACAGGTGGAAGTGTGCGGCAGCCAGCGTCTTTTTGCGGTGTTGTTGGGTTGAAACCAACGTATGGTCGTGTCTCAAGATTTGGACTTATGGCCTATGCTTCATCGCTTGATGTCATTGGCTGCTTGGGGACAACAGTTGCTGATGCTGGGATTCTTCTACATGCAATTTCTGGTCATGATACACTTGACGCCACCAGCAGTAAACGAGTAAGATTGGTCTATACTTCCTCTGTGCTATTGTCTTAAGTTTTGTAGCGTTTGAAAGGAAGATTGGTCTGTGCCTGCTTCTTCGAAAATTTGAAGTTTCTAAGTGACTTCGGTAGTCTTATGTTGCTGTTATTGATTGTTCATGATGACGTTTGAAGTTGAAAACTGTAGAATCGGATAATGAATTACTTTGATCACTTCTTGGGCAATTTCATAATAGGGTGGATTCTTGTAGCATTTTTTAAAACTTTTTTTCGCGCACGTTTTTCAGGAAGTTCATGATTTCACGTCGCAATTTACTGCTGCTGATTCATTGGAAAGTAAACCCTTGAAGGGATTGAGGATTGGCCTAATTCGTGAAACTCTTGATAATGGTGTTGATGGTGAAGTAAGTTCTGCAATACGTGCTGCTGCTTCACATCTTGAAGAACTGGGATGCTCCATCAATGAGGTATATTTTCTTTTAATTTCATTGCTTTTGGTGCTTTACTTTCTAGTTGACTAATTATCTCTGTTGTAGGTATCACTGCCATCATTCTCTCTTGGGCTGCCTGCCTATTACATTCTTGCATCATCTGAATCATCTTCAAACTTAGCACGATATGACGGTGTCAGGTAACTTGTTTATTTTCTTCTTGAAAGAAAGAGAATCTAATATCTTTCATCAAGAGAAGACAGTGACGTTGGATCCATTGCATTGTTATTTGATTCTCTCAATTGAAGAAACCATTTAAATGCCTATATATATTGTGATACCAACTTATTCTGATTCAATTTGGGCACTATAACCTACATATAGATATGGAAATCAAGCTGTTGCTGATGAGCTAACTGGCCTGTATCAAAATTCCAGAGCAACAGGATTTGGTTCGGAGGTACTAGTTGGAAGGACATTGAAGATTTTCACTTTTTATTTCTATTTTGTTGTGAGATCCCACATCGGTTGGAGAGGGGAACGAAGCATTCCTTATAAGGGTGTGGAAACCTCTTCCTAGAAACCGCATTTTAAAACCGTGAGGCTGACAACAATACGTAACGTGCCAAAACGGATAATATCTACTAGCAGTGGACTTGGGCTATTACAAATGATATCAGAGCCAGACACCGGACGGTGTGCCAGCGAGAACGTTGAGTGAGCCCCCAAGGGGGGTGGATTGTGAGATCCCACGTCGATCGGAGAGGGGAATGAAGTATTCCGTATAAGGGTGTGAAAATTTGAACCTCATCCTCTCTACTCCGGGGGAATTAATAAGATATGTTCTCATTTCAGGTGAAAATGAGAATTTTGATGGGAACATACGCTCTCTCTGCTGGTTATTACGATGCTTACTACAAGCGTGCTCAGCAGGTGCCACGTCAACATTCTCTATTCTTGATACTTTACAAGGAATGTTTGATAAGAGCTTTATGATTGCAACGGTGTTTCAGGTGAGAAGCGTTATTCAGAAAAGCTTCAAGGCAGCATTAGATGAAAATGACATCTTAATATCACCCGCTGCTCCATCTGCCGCTTATAAAATTGGTATGCCTTCCAACATTTCATGTCTTTCAATTCTTTTGGGCACTACTTTTATGATCATTGTTTGTTAACAGGCGAAAAGGTGAAGGATCCATTGGCAATGTATGCAGGTGACATCATGACTGTAAGCATTTCTGCCGCCCATCTTTTATATAGTATCATCTGAAACTTGAATTAGAGCTCCTTCAACTGAACAATCTTTATTCGTTTCATGCCCTTGACAGGTCAATGTTAACTTAGGTGGACTACCTGCATTGGTGTTGCCTTGTGGATTTGTTAGAGATGGGTCCTCCGACCTCCCTGTCGGCCTTCAAATGATTGGCGCAGCGTTTGACGAGGTACGCGTCATTTACCCTATTGCACAGCATGTATGTTGGTTCGAGTAATATCGAGATGGTTGAGAAGAGAAAATTAGTAGAGGAGTGAATAAGAAGCTTGTGGGGAACTTGTCTGAAGCATTGCCAAAAATGTGGATGATTGTTTACAGGGAAAGCTTGTTAAAGTGGGACACATCTTTGAGCAAACTCTTCCAGACTGCAGATTTGTTCCACCTCTACTAGCTGATCACATTGGGGGTTAGCTCCAAGTCTGTTGAGTTGTGAAAGCACCCAAATTGGAAGCTCGTGTATTATTTGATTATGATTCGGTGAGTGCTGCAATTCTTTCGGGTTCTCTCTCTCTCTCTCTCTCTCTCTCTCTCTCTCTCTCTTATCCAAAACAACAAATGGATTGGATTCAATTGCTAAAATTTTGGTTGCTATTATTGGGACCTTAAATGAGTCTTCGTTTGGGCATTCCTTGGGTGTAAATTGGAGATTTAAGTATTTTTTCAACCATTTTTCTGAAAAATCTACTCTAACTTCATGTTATAGAGTTCAACCCAAAACTTCGCGTTATTTGCGTCTTATTTGGTTGGATAATCAAACCCTTTTTTTTTTGGTTGAGTTGTTGCGTTTAATTTTTTTTTTTTTTTAAATTTAAGCGATCACAATTGAATTGCGACTAGATAGCTGCATACTTGCGACTAGATAGCTGGATGGCCGCGGCTAGACTATTATTGTAAACGAGCATGTTTGTCTTAGAAACATAAGGTAGAAGAGAAGATAAGGCTTGCGGTACTATATATATTTTTAGTTTGGGTTGGCTCAAACTCGCATTAAGCATACTGAACTCGAACCTGACTCGACTCATTGAGCTCCTGGAGAACTAAACTCAACCCTATCTGATAACCTATTTAATCGAATCCGACCCTTATAATTTGAGTTGCATAAGTTTGGATTGTCGGGTTTAGTGGACACCCCTATCGAAAGTTATCGTTGTAACATTTTTTTTAATTTATCTTTATTAATTTTAATTATAATTTCTAAAACATAAATACTATTTTATTTTTAGACAGAAATAGAATAAATAAAGTATAGAATATGAAAGTTGCATGCTAAACTTAGAATTATGTGTACATTTTTTGTGAAGGGTCGATCATCAATCCAAATTTATCTAAAACTTCTCGAAAATTAGGGTTTAGTTTAAATTTTAAAAATAATAATAATAATAAAGTAAAAAGGTAAAAATTCCTATTTCATCAAAATCAGATTCTAAAAACCTTTTTAACCATTTGTCTCATTATTGACAGATTTTCAATCCAATTTGGATCGGATCTTCTGGAGATTGGAGCAGAGTCTTTTGAGTTCTACAACAGATCACAGCCTTTTAGTTTATTGCGCGCCTTGAAGATCGCTGTCCCGTCGGAATCTCGGTCGATCCATTGTTCCGATCTATTCCATCTGTTCGGCGTCGAATCTCCGCTGCTTACGTACTCCTCCGACACCAGGTTCTTCTCTTACCCTCTCCATACTAGTTTATCGTTTGAATTTCTTTCATGCTTCTTTAGAAACTCGGTTTGTGTGTACGGTTCAATGATCCACTTCTAAAGCTGCTTCAGCTGTGACGTTATGTAATTATCGAGCTTGAGCATGGAAGAAGGGGGGAAAGGAGTCGTTTTACTTTTTCACTTGCGTTTTGGAACTGCGATAAATTATTAGGTCGAAGAAGTTGTTAGAATCTGGATTAGGAAAGGAATCCAAATTTGTGACTGGTAGGTGCTGATCATAATTTCGCGTGCAATCCAAGTCGAATGTTCATAAAAGAATGATGTACTTTTTTTCCCTCTTGAGATCGGACCGATATAGTGAACCATGAGATTAAGTGTCCTGGCGTTTATTTTCTTGCAACTATACATTGTGTGTGTTTCTGTTATATATCCCTGATAGCAACCTTGCCTTATCTTCCCGCTTAGATATTGAAAAAGATGTCGGGCCAGACCCAACGTTTGAATGTGGTTCCGACGGTTACAATGCTTGGAGCGATGAAAGCCCGTCTTGTTGGTGCAACCAGAGGTCATGCTCTCCTCAAGAAGAAGAGTGATGCTTTGACTGTTCAGTTCCGTCAGATACTCAAGAAGATTGTCTCAGCTAAGGAATCAATGGGGGAAGTCATGAAGACATCTGCATTTTCTCTCACCGAAGCAAAATATGTTGCTGGTGACAACATCAAGCATATTGTTCTTGAGAATGTCCAAAGTGCCGCTATTAAGATTCGATCTCGGCAGGAGAATATTGCTGGTGTAAAACTCCCAAAATTTGAACATTATTCTGATGGTGAGACCAAAAATGATCTCACAGGGTTAGCCAGGGGTGGACAACAGATCCAGCTGTGTCGGGGCGCCTATGTGAAGGCAATTGAGGTTCTTGTAGAGCTTGCTTCACTTCAGACATCATTTTTGACTCTTGATGAGGCAATTAAAACCACAAACCGCAGGGTTAATGCTCTGGAGAATGTTGTGAAGCCAAGGATTGAGAATACTATAAGTTACATTAAGGGAGAATTGGATGAGCTGGAAAGGGAAGATTTCTTTAGACTGAAAAAGATACAGGGTTATAAGAGAAGGGAAATTGAGAGGCAACGTATCAATGCCAAGCTATATGCTGAGGAACAACTTGCTGAAAAGATATCCTTGCAGAAGGGCGTTTCCATGACTTTAGCCCACAACTTATTGTCTGCAGCTGCTGAGAAGGACGAGGATATTATTTTTTGATGTTAAGGTTGGTTTTTTTGTCTAAAATGTGTGGCTTTCGTTTGCTTATCTATGTTCGAAAATTTATTTGGTGACTTAGGTGGCTCAAGGAGTAATCCCAATAAAAAAACCATATGCTCTAGCCAAAATGTATTTATTTGTTTTCTCTGTTACTTTCAAGGCTTTCAGGTCTTGTAAACATTCCTTCACTTGACATTTCATCTGTTTCTTGAGATACAAATATTTTGTTGTATCATTCTGAATTTGTGTATGATTGGTGTGCTCTTTATCCACTCCATGTAATTCTTGGGTAAATTATGTTAATCAGAGAGGCAGTCCAGTTTCAGATTTTCGTACCAATTACTTGGATTGAAAAGTGAAAGGAGGATACCAGATTGGTCATTAATAGGTTCGTTAAATGCTAGTGAACATTTTGCTGTCCATGGCTGAATAGGTTCTTGAAGCTAGAGATTTCTATTGATGGTGCCATGACATGTGCTATAGTCCTTGCTATCTACCCTTTTTTCTTACCTGTCCTGGAAAGGTGCAAGATTCCATAGATCTCAATATATGTTACTTCTTGTTGATTTGATTTGTTTGATTCATAATATGTTTGGCTCATGGCTTAGTAAGTCTTGAATTGTGTAGTCCTGGCCTACAATTTGAGGTTTTTGATATATGAAGTAGATGTGAGCATAAGAAGTGGACATTAGAAATGTAGATTTTTTACTTCTTGTAGGATTAAGAGCCATAAAGCCCTAGTTGTGTAACTTATGTCTATGATACATAACCTTCTGATCTCAAACATTATTGTTCACGAGTTGAAGCAAGAGTAAAGTTCCTATGTGCTACAACTTGGTTCACTAATTCGTAGTCTTATCCAAGGTTGAGATAAATGTTTTTCTTTGTGATTGTGATGTATTATAGATGTTCCTTGTAGTTTTTTGATATTTGATACTGTTTGTAGAACTGTTTTGCTTAATCGCATGGGAGGAGAAAGAAAGTTTAAACTCTATTTGAATTTTATTTTTTAAATATTTTTCTTGCTTTCTTTTTTTTTTTTTTTTTTTAAGAAAAGGTTAACTTGATATTATTTATCATAGTTGAGTGAGTTACAAATAGTATGTGAATGTGAAGTTAGATGGTCTGAAGTTTCTTGAGATGTTGAGTGAGTTACAAATAGTGTGCAAGTTAGATGACTTGTGTGTTCGTGATGCAAAATTGTTTAATCTTGATCAAGTATGTGTTCCGAGTAGAGTTGTTTAAAGTGAAGTTGTTTATTAGACACTAATTTTTTAAACTTTAAATAACAAAATTTTGTTACCAGGATGCAAAAAAAAAAAAATTGAGATCGTGAATGTTTAAGTCATTCATTAGAGGGCGAGGAATGACAAAGGGGCCGAGGAGTTGTTCTCGAGGGGCAAGGAGAGTGGATGAGGTTTTATGGTTATAGATAGACTCGGGAAGAGGACGCATGGATGTGGAGAAATGGCATTAAAGATCGGGCAATGGCTCCCCAAAATCATTTGCCTCAAAACACGATCCTAGACTAAACCTTAGCGAACCATGTTCAAACATAATGTAGAGTGTAGGAGAGGCTGAAGATCGGGTACTGTATGAACAAATGTTTCTCTCTTCCCACTTTGTAAACATACAATATGGAGTTTATATATCAAACAAATGTCCAACAAGAAAGCTATGCATGAATACACAATTGACTTCGAAATACTATGGAAGGGTCAAAACAAAAGCCTAGAAGGTAAAAAATAATCCCCAACTAAACTGTTAGAAAGAGAGCGTTGAGGAGAAGCAGCATCCACAAACAATCATACCACAACGGTACCTGCATTTTGTCAAAACTTGAAAACCATATCTCTTCACCAGCTGCCTCGTGTAAACTGAAATGCATTGCGTTGGATTGCTACTTTGTCCAGTTATTGGAACATCTGAAGGAAGTTATTTGCATATGCCATCGGTTTCACGTCAGGATGCGGCTGCAATATCAATGAATGACAAAAATGTAAAGGAATCCAAAAAAAAAAAAAAAAAAAAGAACACCCACCACTGCCGAGAAGGTTACGATGTTGGGCTTCAAATCTGGTGCTTCGAAGCGAATAAAAGCTCCTTTATTTCCCATCTGCAATGTCATTATTGGCAGACCATGGGTACAAATTTTATAGGAAAAAACATGAAGGAACTTGACTTTGAAAACAGAACAGAAGAATCAGCACCTATGCTCCAATGGGAGAAGAATTTAGTCTACTACTACTACTACTAAAAGCTGAAGTAGTATGCTATTTTTCTTCTAAAACTTTCTATGTACGGATAATATTGCACCAACCAAGGAAAAAGAAATTACCTGATCACAATAATTAGGAGCAGAAAATACTGTAATAAGTTTTCCATCATGCTCGATTTCATACCCTTCATCCTTGACTTCATGGGATCGCACAATTAAATCTGTCGAGTTATTGGTAATTCATGTCATCAAAAACCGTTATCATTCTCAACCAAACATAATGGATACATAACTAGAAAACAGCTACCTAAGTTGTTCTCCTCCAAGAATCTTTTTGTGACATCTGCACCAAAGGCCAGACCTACACCACGTTTACTGGGTCCCCTCCCAGGATTAGGTTGTGGATCACTCCATAGGATTTCACACATTAATCCTGTTACACAAAAGTGACAGGAAAACTAAGAAATATTCAGCTTAGGAATATGAGAAGAATGATTTTTTGTGCTCGAGAAAAACCATACTGACTTTTCAGGCATGTTACTTTGTGCAGAAAATATGCATTAGAGTTTAGATGAGCAATAAAAGATTAAATTATGCATCTCACCTTCCTCAGGGGGTTCGCAAAACCGATCTATTGCTCTGATTTCAGAGAGTTTTACCCCATCAACACTAAAAAGACCACCATGAGCCACGAAAACCTTCTCATTTAGAACATAAGCCAAAGGTAAAGAGCAAAATACTTCTGCAAATAGTTCCACAAACGTTTCATTCAACTTAGACCGAACTTCACCCTCAAAGCCATAGATCTTGTTCATGCTCTTGCTTTCATGATTTCCTCTGGACAAATGCATAGCTGAAAGTAGACAAATGATATAAAAAGTCATTGGATGAAAGAAAATTCACAGGACACAAGGGAGCAGTTGATGACTAAATAAAACCATATATGATCTGACAAAAAATTGTGATGGTGAAACAGTACAGTGCAAGCACATATAGGAACCTTTTAAGGAGATCAGACAATAACGTTTGCAGTTTTACATTTAGTAAATCAAGTTAATCGTCGGGTTAAGATCCATAGAGCTTCATAATTAAATTGTTTTTACCTCTTCTGGATTTCGTGAAATTAAGTTCAAACTAAGATTCAGCTATAGTACAATCATGAAAAATTACAGCAATCAGAGCTCACAGCTCAAGTTCCTTGCTTTCCAAGATTTTTCTTCCTTGGATATAAAGAACGACTTTCAAAATTGCTATAACCTGCCTTAGTGTCATAGGCTTGTAAAATTTTGCAGGAAGAAGTCCATCTAAGATATACGGTGTAAAAATGTTTGGAGGAAATTCACCTGCTGGAGACATGCACTTGAATGCAAACAACGTGAGAATGACCTCCACAGAAAATGAACCTCTATCCACAAAGTCTCCATTAAAGAGGTATGGATTTTCATCTGATGGAAGCCCATTAAGCTCGAATATATTTAAGAGATCATAGAACTGCAGACATCATAAAAGGTATATTATGTAAGCATGCCTACCATCTGCAATAAAACATAAACAAGAAACACAATAAGGAGATTCAAATAAAGGAAAAATACAACACAGCTGTATTATGAAAAAAGAGATCCCAATATTGTGCAACTCCATTGATGCGCAAGTATAGATAAAAATAAAAAAAAAGGCAAGCAAAACTTTCGATGATCTAATTCCTTTTATCACTAAACTGTTCCTTTCTGAACATAACTAGTATATTTAATGGCTCCACACATGTTCACCACTAAGACAGGTGATATTATAAGTACGTATATTAACTCAAAGAAACCTTACCTGACCATGTACATCACCACAAACAGTTAAATGCCTGCCCTCTGGGATGTTAACATCTACAAGAGATGGAAGGGCACGCAAGATTTCTCTGACTTGTAATACAATTTGGAATGCATATCTACAAAATCAATAGCAACATTAAAAGGCATATTCATGCCACTGATCAATGACGTCAATCATTGCACCTACCTCTTGTGCAAGCTTTTCTGGTTTTTAAAATCTTCAATCATTTTCTTCACGAAATCCAGTGTTACATCTCCTTCTATCTTTGCACCAGTATACTGTGGCTCAACATCTATAATTAAAGCATAAACGAGCCTTACTTCGTCACAAAGCAATTAATTTTTTGTAAAAAAAAAAAAAAAAAAAAACCAAAAAATCATAGAACAAGAAAAATGTGATTTAACATAATTATCTTAAATCAATAAGCAGACAACTAAGAACAAAGAAAAAGGAAATTAAAATTGTAATTAGATGATCTCTTAATATCTATAACATTTAACCTACCACTGGGTCTTGCTAAAATTCAAGAGAATGGACTAGAGATTTACTTCTATTGTTAATCTTTAACAGAAGTTTAAAAGTTGATTAAATGGATAAAATGATAAAATGAGCCATTTCCTAAAATATGTGGGTGGATTCTTGGGGGGCTGGGGATCTAGTTGCACAAGCTGCAAGGTGAGAACATTTCACGTAAGAGAAATTACCGATTGCATGAAAATCAATGGAATCAGCCACTGAACGCCTCTGAGCTTCTGGTACTGCTATTGCTTCTTCGAACTTAAGCTTCATGACTGCCTTTTCACATTCCTTCAATTTCTTAGCAGCATCACGATCATTGGGACAGATCTTCTTGAGCTGGGCAACACAAAACAAATATGATCGAACGGTTGTATATATCAAATATTATATAAGTTGAAACTTGGAATTAAATTTGGGACGTCAGAAAGAAAGCAACAAAAACAGTTTAACCCTCTCCACCTCCTTAGTTTTCCAACAGCCACCAGTCCCACCATATTGAAAAAGAGAGAGATCAACAAATAACTTTTCAGAATAATGACTAAAACAGGTCAGACAGCAATAAAAACTCCAACTGAAATTTCTGCTGATTAAAAAGGAACAGACAGACAAATGAGAATGGCAATGCTATACAACTTGTATTCAGCTGTTAAAAGCCAATAAGAGCCAATCGCAGCTTCCACCAATGACATGAGCCAAGGCTTCAAAACGAAGTGTCCCTTTGAGTACAAGAAAAGATGGTACAACTTGTGTCTTCGTACCTGTTGAAAATCTTTAAGTGCTTCTTTTAGTTTTCCCATAGCAAGAAAAGCAGCACCTCTCCTGTAATAACCCTGTCATACAAGAAAAATTTCAGAACGTGGTAAAAAGGATTGGAAAAGTGCATAAATGTGATATACACTGGCTAAATGTTGAGATTACTTTTGAATATTTAGGGTCAATTTCTATAGCCTTCGATGCATCCTGGATTGCGCTACCATATTCCTCCAATTTAATATGTGCAAATGCACGGTTTGCCCAGTATACAACATTCTGATCATTTAGCTCGATTGCTTGTGTATAAAGATCAATTGCTTGAGCATATTTGTGGGCTGAAATCAAGTGAAAACAGTTAAGTACATAAGGAGCAACTTCCCACGGGTTGTAGACTTTTCTTCAACATAGACAACTGACTAAAATGCTGCCCACAGAATGTTCGTGCATTTTTGCGGGCGATACCTTGACATATTCACTAGAGAGGACACCACAAAAATGTTTTAAGTTCAGCTACCTTCACTTTTTCAGGTACAAATGGTTACCTTTAAATGCTTCATTTGCTTGCGATTTGAGTTCTTCAGCACGAACGGCATCAGTTTTATCAGCTTCCATGACAGGCATAACCCCTACAGAGTAGAGAAAGCCACTATGATTTCTGGGTGAGAATTAATTTTACCATCCCTCTCATATATCTCCATCAACGTGGTCCATCTACCCCATAAAACACGAAAAGCGTAAATTTAATCAAATAATGCAAATGCATGTAGAAAAGATGGGCAACAGGAGAGAGAACAAAGCGTTGTAATTTATATGCAATAAAGTGGCTCCAATGTCTCTACCGTAGTAATTTTGTCCACCAAAGCCATGCAATAAAGCAGAAGAAGAAGAGGCAATAACCGCGATTCTAAGGAAAAGCTAAGATTCATAAAAGTACAAGGCGAAAGTGAGTCTGGCATTCAAGATGTTTAGAGAGTTTCGGTCCTTCTGACACCCGACGAAAAAGTTAAAAGCAAGGAAAAATATTTATTTAAAAAAAAAAAAAAAAACTTATCAGCAACGATACCACAGGATTGGTTATCCTAAAGATAATATCGGGAAAGGCGAAGCCAAAGAAAATTGTTCAAGCGTCGATCATGTACGAGAGGGGAAAAAATCCCATTACTATTAGAACGTGTAGAAAGCCATCTCATGCCCTCGTAGTGTAAACCATAGTAAAGAATCCATTCCTCGCAAAGGGAGCTTCCATGATGGAAGAATCTCCATTAAACTCTAAAATAAGCAGCGTAGAGGAATCGTAGAAAAGGAAAAAAAAAAAAAAAAAAAAAATTGAATCCGATGTTCTGAATCGGATGCCCACACCAAGTAACGCGAGATAGGGAGTAGCTAGAGTATTGAATGATCCTTTACTCGATTTCCCGGGAATGAAACAAACACATGAAAGCGAAGTAGGAAAGAGAGTGAATGAAGGAAAGATTTATAGACCTGAGAAGAAATGGCTGATCCAGTGAGGAGGCAGAGAGAGAGAGAGAGAGAGAGCGCGCGGTTTAGGGAGTGGAATGGAGTGAAGTGGAAGAAGGAGAGTGAGGTTGAGACAGCCCTAATTCAGAGAAATTGTGTAATTCATGTTTAAAATTGGAATGACGAGCAGTTGAGAGTGTTGGATGATGGAAGTCCCATATCGACTAATTTAGGATGTGATCATGGGTTTATAAGTGAGGAATACTAACTCCATTGGTATGAGGCCTTTTGGGAAGCTCAAAGCAAAGCTATGAGAGCTTATACTCAAAGTGGACAATATCATACCATTGTGGAGAGTCGAGATTTGTGTTTGGCTGTTCGCACCCAACAAACCCCCCAAATTCTGTGGAAATCGCCTATTCCCGTAAGCTCCGACTCAAATAGAATATGATCGAACTTTTGGATGTCATATTTTAGCCTACAACTTCTAGTGAATCTTTACTTTCCGTCCATGTACGCCATTCTTTAACTCAAAGTAGTTTGAATTTGGGGTATGCAAAAATATTTATAAAATTAGTATAAGTTTTTTTTTTTTTCATTTTTTTATAGATTTGAAATTACAAATCAATCTACTAAATTGACGAGCAATTTGGGCTTCAGAAATCGGCCCACTGGGCCGAGTCTCAAATTTAAGGGTCAAACTAGATAATTGGGCTGGACTATTATGTGAAATTAAAATTAATATATAAACAAATTTCAATTAAATACATCACACTCTAATTTAAATACTACCTAAATAATTAAATTATATTAATTAGCAGCTTTAACATCCAAAATCGTCAGGAAAAAAAATTAAAATTAAATTGTATTGAAACCATACGAACCACCTTAATAACGACCAATATTTTATTATCATATGATAACAGATGGTTACACATGTTCCCGGTTGATTTTATATGATGATGTGGACATACATGTTCCAGCACCATATTGACCCATATGCACGAGGTTTCACACGTGGACATCATACATTTATAATATGCAGCTGATGCATGGTGGCGAGAATGAACACGACAAGAAACCAACGTTGTTGAGGTAAGGAGAATAAACAAATAAAAAAATAATATTGTGTGTGGTTTTGCATTTGCAGAAACGTGATTAAGATGAAGAGAGAGATTAAGATGAGAAACTACAAAAGCTTAAGTAGACAGAAAGAGAGAGAGTGGGTGAAATGTCATAATCACGATGGTTTTGTGTCGTTGTTGCTGTTATTCTTTTGTTACCAAAATGTAGACAACAACAAAACAGCATTTCCTTCTTAGCTCATCCCATCAAAAACTGGATGATGCGGCGGGAGAAGGAAATGGAGTGTGCAGCAGTAGCAGCACCAGAATCTTTGTTCTAAAATGGCGACTGGACCCTTTTCTTGCTTTCTTTCCAAAAGAAGACAAAAGTTCAGGGAGTAATGGGTTTGCTGGTAACACTGTTTTGTAGGCGTAGGCTTCCCCTCTCATATGTCGCTGTCTGTCATAAACTTCAGGGACAACCAGAGATCCATTCTTTCTATTTCTTTCCTTAATAATGGATGAAAATAAACTCTCTCTTTCTCTTCAACCTCTTCCGGAAATTCATCATCCATTCATCATCCATTTCTCATCCTTTTCCAAATTAAAACCCAGCCCTTTTCACAAATTTCAATCTTCTCACTTGGGTCTCTCTCCGTTTCACATTTGGATGTGAAAATCATGGCCTTTCCGCCCTCTGCTTTCTCCATTCGGTAAGTTCCTGACGTCTTAACTGCTGTGTAATGCATCACTGTTCAAGTTTTGAAATGGGTTTGTTTTGTTTTTGATTCTTAGAGAGTATGCTCTGAACATGAGAGGGAAGGATTTGACGAGACGAAGTTGGCCGTTTAGTGAGAAGGTGAAGGAAGAAGTGGCTGAAGCTCTGCTGCCACCAATTTCCGTTGCGAAATTCCGTTGGTGGTCTCAAGAGCTGCAGATTCTGAAATCGAATAAAGTAGTAGAGGATATGGAAGTGGAGAAAACTTGTCCTGTTTGTGGAGTTTTTGTTACAGCTACGGTGAACGCAATGAGCGCACATATTCATAGTTGTTTAGCTCCAACAACCAAGGAAAAAAGAAAAAACAAAGCAGGCGGAGGAGGAGCAGCAGCAGCAGCAGGGTTTTTGAAGGCAAAATCAAGACCCCCAAAAAAGCGGTCAATAGCCGAGATTTTCGCAGTGGCTCCGCCAGTAGAAACAATGATTATGATTAATGATTGTGAGGGAGAAAAGGTGAGTGGGAAACAAAGAAATGGAGACAAGCTCAAAGCGACATCGCTGGCTAGGACTCTTGTCTCCGCTATGAAGACAACGAAGGCCAACAACAACTACAAAAATAAGGTATGTGATTCTGTTTTCTGGGTTTAATTCAAACGGTGTGAGGGGGAAAACTGTAGCTTTTAATAGGCTGTATCTTCTCTCTCTGCTCATAATTACTGCTGGAAAAAGCTGGTGAAGAGACTGCGTGACTACAAGACGAGTTTGAATAGTTTGTGAAGGGTTTATGTGAGGTTCTTATGGGTGTATGTCTGTGTGGGTGGTAGTGCTCCACCTGCTGCAAGGGTACGGCCCTTGGCAGGGACTCACTTTATTTGGTTCGACAGTTTTTGTCCTTAGTTTAACCAATGTATATCCTAGGTTAACCATGCTGCATTTTTCACCTCTTTTTGACCCATTTCCAATCCAACAAATGAATTTGGTTCATGATTAGTGGAAAAACATCTTTACTTGAAGTGGGTTTTACTTCGGGGTACTTATAATGGAATGTTGTGGATAAGAGAGTTGAGAAGACAATCTTTAAGAATAGAGCATTTCATTATTTGCTGTTCATCAAGGGCCCTCCTCAGATTCCTCAGTACTAGTCCTTTTCTGCACAATATTCTTTTATATCACATGACCCAATAGGATTAAAATTTTATGTGCTTGGGATACTACAAGTTTGAGCTGCCCAAACCCACTGCTTTGATGCGTTCCTTTTGTGTAAGAAACAAAGGCATATATATATATATATATATATATATTTATGTTTTGACTGTTCAGTTTTGAGCGCCTAACTTGATGAAATACCACAGAAAAAGCTTATATAATTTTCACTTGGACATAGGAGTTTGGTCATGAGCAACTTTGCAAGAAGGGACACAGAAATCACAAGGATGTTTCGGTCTGTTGTAAGAAACCTTGTTTTAAGCGAGTGTCGAGACAAGAAATGCAAAAACCAGTTAGGAAGTCCAATGTAGTTGCCAAGCAACAGAGGGCAGTGCCTCCAATTAGGAGCATTTTGAAGCCCAGTGTAACAAATTCTTCATCCACCAACTTCAACTGCAGTGATCAAGTGATTAATAATGGCAGTCGAAAGTCCGATCGGCGCGTTAGCTTCTCGGATAAGAATGATGTTCTTGGTCCAAGCACTACCTGTGTACAAACTGGTGGCAGTCCATTTGAAGACTCAGAGGGAAACACTAATTCAGGGGAAAGTAATAAAGGAGTTGATTCGATGGAGGTTGGCATAAACGACGATAGATCTCATCCTTGTTGGGACGGTGTGAATCATTCGGCCGAGAAGTCAATATCACATGAAAATAGTTTGCATTTGTTTGATCATCCTCAGAAGCTGCCATCAGTACATTCTGCTATTCCTGCTCTATTAGCTGCACAAGAAGAAAGGCAATATGGGCATGAAGCGCATTCTTTCTGTGGAAAATCAGTTGACTATTTGATAAATCCTATGAATGGAGTAGCTGCCTTAAGTGAAAATGCAGCTGGTGGCAGATTTCTTAACTTGGCTGAATCTTCTGCTAAGGACACTCGATCCAGCGTTCCGAACTGGGAGCAAAGTACGGTTGCCTACAAAGAGAAGGGCGTGAATGATGGATTCTTCTGCCTGCCTTTGAACTCCAAGGGTGAGCTGATTCAACTAAATTCAGGTTTGATTAATGGGTTTGATCAAATGAATGAAACCAGTAACACTATGGTGTGTTCTAGCAGGATACCGGTATGCGGTCTCGTCCTGCCAAGAAGCGCTCGGGATTGTTTCATAGATAATGAAAAACTCCTTGTGGAGACTGAACTTACAGGAAACCAGTTGAGTTTATTTCCATTGCATAGTAATATGCAAGAAAATCAAAGGTATTTGTCAGCTGGATTCGATGTCACTGAACCTGGAATTTCAAGAACAGCTGATATTAGACTGCAAAACTCAGAAAGGGGAACAGAATCTGGAAGGTTTTTTCACTCAAACTTGATGGATCCTCCATTTAATCCTGAAAATTCAAGTAGCTTGTTGCCGAATCCCGCTCGCCAAACGATGCGGTTGATGGGAAAAGATGTAGCTGTTGTTGTAGAACCTGAGGTCATAAACTTTTGGAAGAACACAACCTTATTTGAGGACTGCCTAACCAATTCTATCCAAGAGAATCCCATGAGAAAAAGAAACTTTCTGGAAGATACAGTGTTTTATCCTGCAGGCTTTCATAGCAATCAAGTGGCACAAAGAAGCTTATTGCCAAATGCTCCACAAGGTAGGTACCCCGATCCGCGTGTCGATCGAAAAAACAGTATAATGTATCACAGATCCGACTCTGTCATCAACTTAAACGAAAGGTTCAACAACATCCATAGCTTTTCACCTTTGCCGACCGACCAAGCCTTCGATATGGCACCGAACTTTGAAGCACCCTTTTTTTCTGGTTCTCAAGCAGTAAGGCTTAGTGCACAGCCATCAACATTTTCTACTTCTTTTGAACTTGGTTTCAATCAGAACAATCTACATCCAGCAGAATTAGGAAACATCAACTTCCCTTTCTTGCAGCCAGCTGATGAAAATCATGTCCAGCATCCTAGGTTTCACAGCTCTAAGAGCCTTCCCCCATGGATGTTACACGGTCACAAACGGGAAGACATGCCGACCGCAAGCTCTAAACTCGCTGACATAAACGGATACTATTATCCATTCATTGCTTCTGGTGCTGATGTTCTAATTAGTCCTCCGTCTCATCACCGGAATGAGGCTGCATATCCTTGCAGTACAATGCCATCTCACTTACAGATGAAGAATATACCTGTCTCAACATCTTTTCATCAACCAATATCTATTTCTCCTCGAGTTCACTCACCATCCATTAGAACGAGCTACGAAGACAGATTGAAGTTCAACACTTTGAGTGTCAAGGACTCTGATCTTTCAAGTAGAAAGCAACCTGCTGGAGAGCTTGTTGATTCAAGGAAGTGTCGAATGGTATCGAGTTTAGAAATGAACAATGCCGGGGTTCTGCCACGGTGGACACGAGGCGAACTCATTAACGATGTGCAATCTAACCCGGGGACGACGGCGAAAATCATTGCTAACTGGGACAATGCTGTTAATTCAGCCGGAAATATGTCAAATATGAGTCAAACTGATGGAATAGTGAATGAATCTCCGAAAGTTGAATGTATGGCAAGAACAGGCCCCATTAAGTTAACAGCAGGAGCAAAACACATACTGAAACCAAGTCAGAGTATGGATTTCGAGTATAATAAGCCTACCTATTCAACAGTTCCTTCTGCTGGCTTAGCTCAGTGTGTAAGGTTGGTAGAATCTCAGAAGAAGTCAACAAAAGTGTACAGTTTTTGAAGTAAGCATTGTAGTTTGTCTTGTAATTATTTGCTAAATCTAATTCTAATATACTTTGGCTGATATTAGAAAATGATATTATCTGCATGACAGGAAGAAACCTCTTCTTATCCTTATAACCTCTGACACAAAAGTTGTTGTCGACCCATCGTAGTCACCAAGCGAATGCCAGTTTTTCGGTACGTGAAAGCATGTTATCACGAATACGATTGTGATAAATATGATGCTCAGGTTTTGATCTTGGTTTCTTATTGTAAGTTTTTTAGTTCGTTACGTATCATCATCAGTCCCACGGTTTTTAAAATGTATATGCTAGGAAGAGGTTTCCATACTCTTAAAAGATATGTTTCGTTCGTTCCTCTCTCCAACTGATGTGGGATCTCACACAAAGTATTAAAAACATCTCGTTTTATATGATTGTCCCCCTACCAATGTTGTGTAAAACGAATTCGTTACCATTATATTTAACTGTTTATATCAACCATGAAAATGAGAAAAAGATGAGAGAGATTGATATCTCTACTAAAACAGATTTTGATCCAAATGTTTGGGTATTTATTTCTTCTGATCATGTAATTAGGAAACATAGGTTATAAAGCATTATAAAAGAAATATTTTGTACATTTGGGTGAGTATCATCTTGCATATACATCTCGCCATGCTTCTTATTATTCATTCTCCTCTTCATATTTCCTTGTGGTAGTTTGTGTTAGTTGCCTGCAAAATTGGTTGAACGATGACTGTAAGGCCAAATGAGAGAGAAAGATGAAGAAAAAGAAAGAGTGTGAACAATATTTTATGTACCTAAACCAAGTTTGACAATCTGTTCTAGAGAATCAGCTCCCTTGTTTTCAATGTAATCATCCACCAACTTCCATGCACGAAAGATTTTCTTCTGCTCGTCCTCTTCCTCGTCTTCTTCCTCCTCCTCCTCCTTTTTCTTTTTCTTTTCCTTTTCCTTCTCCTCTTCTTTGTCTTCCTTCTCCTTCTCCTTCTCCTTCTCCTTCTCCTTCTCCTTCTCGAGATCGGACTCGGGTTTCTCTTCGCGTTCGATCGTCATGAACTTCGTCGCGATATGCTCATAAACATAAGCTGCACCCTTGAAACTTGGCAGCATCAGCCACAAGCAAACCACCATCTTTATGTAAGCCCAAATCGGAATCCTACAAAATTGTTGTTGGATGTTAGATGGAACACAATTTGTATTGGTAGGAAATACAAAGTGGTTGAAGAGTCACATACGACACGCACCATGATATGATGGTGGAAAAATAAAGTTCGATCGTGGTCAGAAATGAAAGCAAAAGCCAATATGTGAGCCATTGCTGCTGCTGATCTCGAAATGAAGCTTTCTCTATTGCCCTCTTCGTCTCATACCTGTTTTTCTTCCAATGTCAGCTCAAAAAGCGCTTCAACTTTTAAACTATACACACACACACACACATAGACTTACAGTGGATAAAGGAGAACAGTGGCAAACCTGCAGGGGAAGAAAGAAAAATAATAATCAATGTTTAAAATAAATATGTTCTGAAAAAATTGGAAAAAGAAAAAGAAAAACAAAGAAATTGGGTACCCAATTGCTGCATGCAACAAGTTGAAGGCGGCTCTGCCCAGAAAACCCATTTAGAATATGAAGGTTTAATAAGGAAACTGAAAAGAAAACTAAGGATGGATTGAAAGAAGGGGAAATATATATATATATATATATATATATATATATTTATGTTTATGTTTATTGAAAGCAAGTAAAGAATATCTGTCAATTTTGTTTTTGTCCTAAGAAAAGTGTTCCCATGTTTTTTCTTCTTCTTAATTCTGTCTTTCAACGACAAGACATTGAAATTGGAAGAGGGGAGGGAATCAAAGTTAACACATTTTATCTAACCCTATTCCCCTTTTCCACGCAACTATTTTGGATTTTTTTTCTTATAAATAAACAAATAAATAAAAAAAGAAAATAAAATAGTTGTGGGCATACTTGTAATTTCAACCAATAATGCTTTCCTTACTCTCTTCTCCGTTGCGCGCCTTCTCTCTTCGCTTCACAATCAACAATCAATCGCTTCCCTTCTCCATCCATGTTTTGCCGTACACACCGCCACTTTTCCCTCTCTCTCTCCTCGCTCTCCCTTCTTCTCGCCGGGGGACGAAACTGACCGCCGTTCCCTCTCCGTCGCCGGAAAGCTCTGCCCAGTTCAGTTCACTGTATGCTCCCCAACCTTCTTCTCTATTTTCTCTCCTTCAACTTCATATTGTTTTTTTTTTTATAAATAAAATAATTGATGGAGCGGAACCCTAACTTTAGCTCCGGGTCCGACTCGGGGTATTTTGCATTGCGTCTATATCTATCCGAGATCCATTGGTTTTCAATCGGTCTTGTCGACCCGGTCAGTTTTTGGTATATTCGGGTCGGATAGGGTTGTGGGTCTCGGCGGTAATACCGATCCGGTGACCCTCTTTTGTGGCTTTTCTCATAAAATTCACTTCAATGAAGGCCCGACCCGCTTCTACTGGGGTTTATTTACCACTTCTGGGTCTTCTTCGGACCCCATGAGTGACCATGGAATCAAAATCCATGCGTCTCCTTATTATATCGGATTCGCTTTCTTCAAATTAGTTTCATGAAACTTGGAATAGTTCATAGATTGGTTGTCAGATGAACATTTTTTTTTTTTTTTTTTGGGTTTGTCCTGTCGTGTTTTGCATGTTGAGTTGGTTCATGGTCTGTGTTGGCTACTGTTGTCTCTGTGAATGTTCACCAGTTTCCTCTTCTTTTAAAGATGTGACTTGCTATTGCTTTACTTTTTAGCCTATGGATAGTGGGATTTCGTTATTATTGTTCAAGGGCTTGTGTATTGGTATGGAAAAGATAAGTTTGTTAAAGAATGTGACTAGTAAATATTCTCCATTTTTGCTCGCTACATATCAGCCTCACGATTTTAAAACGGGTCTACTAAGGAGAGGTTTCCACACACCTCCGTGATTTTACAACGCGTCTTCTAAGGAGAGGTTTCCACATCTTTTAGGGAATGGTTCGTTAAGATCTCACCATTATAGTAAAGTTTCTTGTTCCAGTGATCTCTTTACCTTTTTTACTCAAAAGTTGGGAGGCTGTAGATATTTAGAAGTGCATCCTATGTTTTATGGTGGTTGACTTGCAACATGAACATGCTTGTTTTTCCAGTTAGTCAAGGTTGAAACTAATTTTGGTCTTCCTTTTCGAATCTTTTTAATCAGAATTTATTGTGTGGTTTTGATATGCAGCTTTTGTTGGAAAGACAGGGTGATGTAATGGATATGTCGGAGGCAGTTATAGTAAAATCTAGCAGATTGAAATCCGTTGTGTGGAACGATTTTGATAGAATAAAAAAGGGTGACACCTTTGTTGCTGTATGTAGGCATTGTAAGAAGAAACTCAGTGGATCCAGTACCAGTGGGACTTCTCATTTGAGGAATCACTTAATTAGGTGTCAGAGAAGATCTAATCAGTTTATTTCTTCATCCAGGGAAAAGAGAAAGGAAGCAACTCTGGCTATTACTAACTATGTTGATCCGGGGCCGAAGAAGGATGATGTACTCAATCTTGTCAATATTGGATTTAATCCAGAGAAGTTGAAAGAGGAAACAAGTAATACTCTGAGTTACAATTTTGATCAGCGACGAAGTCGCTTTGATCTCGCACGTATGATCATCTTGCACGGTTATCCATTGGCCATGGTTGAGCATGTTGGGTTCAGAGTATTTGTTAAAAATCTGCATCCCTTGTTCGAACTTGTAACGTGCAATAAAGTTGAAACTGATTGTTTGGAGATATATGCCAAAGAGAAACAAAAAGTGAATGAGTTATTGGATAAATTGCCTGGTAAAGTTAGTCTCAGCGCTGATATGTGGACTGCCTCAGATCATCAGGAATCGGCATACCTGTGTCTTACAGCCCACTATATTGATGAGTCCTGGCAGTTAAATAAGAAGGTTTTGAACTTTATGTTCGTTGATCCTTCTCACACTGAAGATTTGCATTCAGAGACCATCATGACATGTCTTATGGATTGGGATATCGATCGCAAGTTATTTTCAATGACATTTGATTGTTCCTCTACCAGTGACTATATATCATTACGAATCAGAGACAGACTATCACAGAACAGGTTCCTGTATTGTAATGGTCAATTATTTGATGTCAGCTGTGCGGTAGATCTTCTCAATTTGATGGCTCAAGACGCTTTGGAAGCATTGTGCAGTATTCTCCCTAAAATTCGTGATAGTATTCAATACATTAAACAGTCTCGAGAAGTGCAAGCTAAGTTCAATGATATGGCCGAACAAGGTAAAGTTCAGAGCCAAAAAGTTCTATCTCTGGACAATCCAGCTCAGTGGAACTTGACTTATGCAATGCTTGGAGCGGCTATAGAATATCGAGAAGCGTTTTCCCGTTTGCAGGAAAGTGACGTTGGCTACACAGCATGCCCAACTGAAGAAGAGTGGTCTAGGAGTTGTACAATCACTGGGTTTCTGAAGTTCTTTTTTGAAGTAACTAATGTATTAACGAAGAGCAATTTTCCAACTGCAAATATATTTTTCCCTGAGCTCTGTGATGTGCACTTGCAGTTGATGGAATGGTTCAAGAATTCAGATGATTATATCAAGGCCTTGGCATTCAAGATGCGCACCAAGTTTGAAGAATATTGGGACAAGTGTGGATTGGCTCTAGCGGTTTCTGCCATTTTAGATCCTCGATTCAAGATGAAACTAGTAGAATACTACTATCCACAAATATATGGGGTTGTTTCTCAACAGAGGATTGATGATGTTATGAACTGCGTGAAGGCGCTTTACAATGAACATATGATCTGCTCGCCATTAGCTTCAATGGATGAAGGTCTTGCCTGGCAAGTTGGGAGTAGTTCTGGGAAGGATGGAAGGGATAGATTGATGGGGTTTGACAAATTTCTGCATGAAGCCTCGGAGAGTGAAGGCAGTAAGTCAGATTTGGAGAAGTACCTTGAGGAGCCTTTGTTTCCTCGTAATGCCGAATTCAATGTGTTGAACTGGTGGAAAGTTCACAGTCCTAGATATCCAATTTTGTCCATAATGGCTCGTAATGTGTTGGGGATTCCGATGTCAAAGGTTGCATCAGATTGTGCATTCAGGACTGGAAGAAGAGTGGTTGATCGAGAGTGGAGTTCATTGAAACCAGCTACGATTGAAGCATTGGTATGTTCACAGGATTGGATACGGAGTGAACTGGAGAGCTAATTCTTCCCTCACATGACAACTCTGTCGATATTTATTCATTTTTGTCAATCTTTGTACTTCACTTGTGGCCATGGCCCATGTGTGGATTATGTGGGTTTTTTTTTCCCTAAAATTTTAAGCTAATCGTTAAGGACAGATTAGTCCCAAGTTTTATTAATTTGATGATACCCTAATCCAACAAAATTCTTCAAGTTTGACCAGTAATCAAGCTTGTGATGAGCCTGTTGCAGACATGGGATAAAATTGTTGTTTGGTGTTAAATCACGTTTATTTCGTGGATGAACGGTCTTCATTTCATTCCATTCCATTCCGTGTTTCTAAACGATTAAAACCATTCACGTGGAAGAAGCTATTTTTTTTTTATAGCTATATATTTTCATTAACGTCTTAGATATTTACTAAGGCCACTTATTTGGGTTGAGTGATCTGTATGTTGTGTTTATGGAAAGCCGAGATTGCATGGAGTGGAGAGGAGTTTATGGAAAGCCGAGATTGCATGGAGTGGAGAGGAGTTTATGGAAAGCCGAGATAGACGGGAATTTCTTAGCAGTAGGAAATAATATAATACGTAGTAGGGTAGGACACTGAGGAAACGTAAAATAGTTATACTTCAGGTGCTGAATTTATTGTTATTCTGCTTCAGATTCTAGGCTTGAATCTGCCCTCGTTGGCCATCTGGAAAACCCGGGCCTGAGCTGCTGCTGCTCTGTTTGAGCTTAGTGCCGATACAAAACTTTGACGAACTTCATTTGTTGTGAAGGGGTACCTGTTGTTGACCAGTGAGTTCAGGAAAGCCGCAGCTCCTTCTCGGTACAGGGATCCTAGGCCATCAGTTCGTGTGTTTGAGAGTGCTTGTGGCAAGCTGAGAGTTGCTCCAAAGCCTGGAGAGCCTGTTATGCCAAAAACACTGCCCATTGTTCCCCACCACCCCAACAATCCCCATATCGCTCCTGGGTGCGTACTCCAATAGCTTAAAATACACCAACAATGTAGTTTGTTAGGGATTGAAATATGCCAGTAAAGGGGGAATTGAAAAAAGGATTGTTACTTACTTGCATGTGCCAGTAAAGGGGGAATTGGGATCAGGAACAAAGGGAGGTGCTGATGTGGTTGGTGGGGTTCCATAGAATGGTGTACCAGATGTTGGAGGGTTGTAGAATCCATTACCACCTGAAGGAGGAGTTGATGGGTTAGGATCATAAGATGGAGGGCTGTCGTATCCACTACCGCCTGAGGGAGGTGTGGATGGAGTTGATGGAGTAGGATCGTAAGTTGGAGGGCTGTAGTATCCACCACCACCTGAAGGAGTCGATGGGGTTGGAGTGGGATCATACGTTGGAGGGCTGTTGTATCCACCATCTGAAGGAGTTGACGGAGTTGGTGTAGATGGGGTTGAAGGAGTTGTGGGATTATCAGTTGGAGGGCTATAGTATCCACCACCTGAAGGAGTTGACGGAGTTGGAGTAGATGGAGTTGAAGGTGTTGGAGTGGGATCATAGGTTGGAGGGCTATAGTATCCACCACCACCTGAAGGAGCTGACGGAGTTGGAGTAGATGGAGTTGAAGGAGTTGAAGGAGTTGGAGTGGGATCATAAGTTGGAGGGCTGTAGTATCCACCACCTGAAGGAGCTGACGGAGTTGGAGTAGATGGAGTTGATGGGGTCGAACCACCACCATCAGGAGGAGGATTTGATGGAGTTGAAGGAGTTGGAGTGGGATCATAAGACGGAGGGCTGTAGTATCCACCACCACCACCACCAGAAGGAGGAGGACTCAATGGAGTTGATGGGGTTGGAGTGGGATCATGAGAGGGCGGGCTGTAATACCCACCACCATCTGAAGGAGGAGTGGATGGAATAGATGGGGTTGGATTATATTTAGGAGACTTGTGGTGTCCACCACCACCGGAAGGAGGTTTTGATGGAGTAGGAGTGTGTGGTGGGTTTCCACAGTTCCCTGGTTTTGGGCTGCGTTTCTTACCACCATGTCCATGAGTGGGTGGTTTTCCTCCATGGCTTCCTCCCGAGCCATCAGGTGGTGGTGTAGTTCCATAAGGTGGACTCCCCGGTGAAGAACCTACAAACAAAGAGGAAATTACAAGGCATGCACTTTGTCACTGATATGAATAGTTGTAGCCACTTGTTTAAAATCTTCCATCTTACTCAAAACAACAAAACATTTCAGAACCGTGGAATGCAAGGGAATGTGTGTGTGTGGGTGTATATGTTGTTTGTGGGTAATAGAGAAACCTGAGGGGGGGCTTCCTGCATGTGGGTCTGGAGTGTAATAAGTCTTCTGATCTTCGTCGCTTGTAGACGTCAAAGGAATGGCCATGTCTCCAGAAACCAACCCAACAAAGAGAGTCCATAGGAGGAGGAAAGCTAGTGTTGTTCCCATTGTCTTCATATCTGTAGTGTTTTACTACGAAGGCAAAGCAATGCATATAAAAGATGGAGTGAGGTATAGAGTGAAGTAAATACTTGCAGGTGGAAGGTTACGTGGTTAGTTGATACGTTGCAGGTTCATTTATTTGCTTATTTATTTCTTGCATTGTTTGCAATAATGTTTTCATTCTGGAGTCGACAATGCATGGCTTTCTGCCAATTTAGGCCCAGCTACTTTGAACGTTACCATTATTTTTTCTCCCTTCTTATTTTATTACATTTACTTAACTGTCTCCAATCATATAGCTGGAATCACCTAGTTAGCCATCTCTTTGAGTTTTTCCTCTCGAGCTTCCCCTCAAGGTTTTTAAAACGCGTTTGCTAGGGAAGGTTTCTAGCTTCCTCTCAAGGTTTGTTCGCTAAGGGAACGTTTCCAGCTTCTCCTTAAGATTCATTTGCTAGGGGGAAGTTTCCAGCTTCCTCTCAAGGTTCGTTTGCTAGGATGAGGTTCCCAACTTCCCTTCGAAGTTTTTAAAATGCGTCTGTTAGGGGAGGATTTTACACCCTTATAAAGAATGCTTCGTTCTCCTCTCCAACCGATGTAAGATCTCACAATCCACTCCCTTCAAGGCCTAGCATCCTCGCAACACACCGCCCAATGTTTGACTCTAATACTATTTGTAACAGTCCAAGCCCACCACTAACAAATATTGTCTTCTTTGGACTTTCTATTTCGGATTTCTCCTCAAGATTTTTAAAATGTGTCTCTATGGGGAAGGTTTCCACGCATTTATAAAGAACACTTTGTTCTCCTCCCCATCAACGTGGGGTCTAATGAAATAATGAAATTAATGAAGAAGCAGGTGATACCATCCACATCCCAAGATTTGAAACAAGGTACCCAAACTGTAGCTTTCCTTGGCCTTGTCCCCTCGCCTCCTCAAAGGTACAAACAGTTGGTTAGAACTCAATTTTGCTTCTTTATACATGAACTTTACTGTCGGTAGGCAAAAAATACTAGACCACATGCAGGAAAAGTGAATAAATAAATAGAAGTTCATCAGTAGAGAGGTTCTTAATTTCGATAATGCCGCTTTTAGAGAGTTTAAGATTGTTGTTAGCTGTTGTTTGTTCCTCGGAGAAAACTTTGCCTATCTTCATTTGGATCGTCCATTCTTTTCCATAATGGTTCAAATCTATTATGACACAAGAACAGGATTTTGTAGGTATGTAGGGAATCTAAATTAGTCACAATTATTGTCTTTTGATGGTTCCCTGGCTTGATTGATTACCTTATAAAGCATAAGTTTCTACCCAGTTGCATTTCCTTTTTCAGTTCTTAATTGCTATCATTTTCCATCAACATGCCAGAGACCAAACCAACATATCCATAGACTGCAATAGCAAGAACCATGAAAATTGAAGATATACTCACGGGTTTTGTGTCCTTTTGGGTGAATGATCTTTAGTTAGAGAGTAGTGTAGAATTTAACCTTGATACAGGGCTCTATGGTGGCGTGTAGAAGGGGATGTGTCCATTAAAATTTATTTCTCCACAGAGATGTAGGTGAGAGTCGCTCGAATATGATAGGAGAGACTTAAAGAAGGGCAGACCTTAGTTGTCGTTCTTTATGATTCTGAGAGATCTTAAACCATTTACAATCCTCTATTTGACTTGTTTTTTTGGGCCTACGAGTGAGGAGGAGGGCTATGAGGGTTAATGGTTAATAGCTGTCGATCAGAACTAAGGAAAGATAAAAAAAAAAAAAATGAATACATTTGTGTAAGGAAGAGTACAGCTTGAGAGCTAGTATAGTTATTAACAAATAGCAACGACACTTATGTTCGCATAGCAAGTATGTGTGAGCTAGTATAGCTTAAGACACAGATAATGAAAAAAAATTAAAATAGAGTGTTGCACCAGGTCTAACCTCATCGAGCGACTCAAGCTCGTCCTCTCGCTCAGGTGCCGGGCCTGCTCTCCCTGCTCGATCGACTAAGTTGTGTTGGAAAGGTTGATGACTGTCAACCAAGCTGTGAATTGAGAAGTTTGACATAGTTGTCGGGAGGGAGCTGGTTTTCCAACCTAATTGAGTTAAGCAAAAAGGGTTCGATTCACCCAACTGTTAAGCAAGTGGCGATCGACAATGTTTAAGTGCACTTTGAGTGACCCTCAGTCTTGTAGTGTGGTAATAGCAAGTGCACCTTGAGTGATACGATCACGAATTAGTTGGTAATAGATGGTTGACTAACGTTTGATACGATCACGAGAGCATAGTAGGTCTCTTTATCTTATATTTCATAGGCCTTTTCTCTCATGTGGTTGTGATATTAGGTCATTCTCGAGTTTTCCCTCTCACTTGGGACAAATCATTCATGAAAATAGGGATATCATAAGCTAAGGTGTGGTTCAAAGAGTTACGAAGTTAAACCTGATCGAACCCTAGAAGGGCCAACCGAACAAACCAGATCAAACCCATTTGACCAATCCATCGAGTGGTCGGCAAAAAAAAAAAAAAAAAAAAAAAAAAAAAAAAAAAAAAAAAAAAAAAAAAAAAAAAAAAAAA